CTAAAATCTATTATAGCACGAAAAATTGTAGTTGAAAGGGTAAGTTTTTTTTTGTTCTCTTCGTTGTTTACTTCTTACAACAAAGATGGCGTCGAGATTTCAACAGCTAGAAAATAAGTTTTTTCTTTCTTTCGGGAAGGCGTGACCTTTTGTCTTTCGTTCATGTGCACCTATTGTCAATAAATACTGAGGGTGTGATATCCACTTCAAATTGGAAAACCATCGATTTTTCTATCGATTCTCTATCAAGTCTCTAATGGCATCGATTGTTTTGTGAAAATATTTTTTTACGCCACAAAAGGGTCAGTAAAAATCACTTGTTTTTATATGTGTGAAGAAATAAATTAAGTATATGGTAAGACCTAGGTGTGTTAAATGCATTTTGGGATATATGTCCTACAAAAAGGTTCCTTGCTAGCAACATATTGCAAACTAGTTGTGCACGATCGTAACTAAACTGTGTAGTTGTTATTTGGAGCTAAGAGTGCAATCAAATATCTTCCACTTTTTTCGTTTTCTCAGTGATATCGACTAATAGCAGCTTCGTTTTGGCTGTAAAAAGTATTGGCTGGAATTTACTATGTCCTCGGAAGAAATCGATATCCTTAGGAAAATTGAACTAATTGAGCCGTCGACCGGGAAACTGTTTTTCGAACACAAAACTGAACTAATATTCTGCAAACCCCACTTAATACCTTTAAAATCACAGGTGTTGGAGCGGTTAGAGGAGATGCAATGTGAAGCAGCACGAAGGCTTCAGGAGAAACGCCAAAAAACTACTTCTGGGACAAGAAAATCTGGAAAAAACTAAGTAAAAACTGACTGATCCATTAAACAGTAAAGCAAAGGAAAAAAACAAGTCGGAGTTACAAAAATATATATATTGAACCAAGTCTTTAAACATCTAGGAATAACATGGTACAATTACTTACATTCGCGGTTATAGTTGCTCTACTGCTGGCTGGTATTTCACTCTATCGTTATGGAAACATTCCTCGTCAACATATTGTTGTTACGTTATCAGTACTAATGGCATGGTGCTTTTCATTTCTCATTGTATTTGCTATCCCACTCGATGTCACAAATGTAAGTGGACTTAATCTGCAAAAATACATATTAAAGTTTTTATTTTTTTTATTTTAGACCTTATATAGACAATGCTTACAGGAAAATACCGACAGAGCGGTGCAGACTACAACCTCAAACGTTAATGCCTCCCCTGTTGAAATTGTTCCGGTTGGTAATACCGAGTGCCAAGCACCATGGGGTATGATTCCTGATTCTGTTTTTCCAAATTTGTGGCGTGTAATCTATTGGACTTCACAATTCCTCACCTGGCTAATAATGCCATTAATGCAGTCGTATTTAAAAGCTGGTGATTTCACCATTAAAGGCAAACTTAAGTCTGCGCTTGTCGAGAATGCCATTTATTACAGCTCGTATCTCTTCATTTGTGGCATATTGTTAATATATATAGCAGCGAAGGGAGTCTCTTTGGATTGGCAAAAACTGAAAGCCATAGCGTCTTCGGCTTCTAATACCTGGGGGTTGTTCCTGCTGGTGTTGCTGCTAGGTAAGCCATTTTTATAACACATAAATGCTTATATTTAGTGTTGCCATTTAAAGTCTTGTGAGCTAGATTTAATTTATATTTTTTTATAATTTCTTATTTTTTTTTTTAAATAGCTCAACAATTTTAAGTTATTGTTCCTAGCGCCTTGAGCCCTTTTTACTTAGGCTCCAACGTTTTTAAATAGTTGACCAGCTCAATACCTTTCAAAAAAACTACAATCACAAATTATACAAATCTAGCATACCTCAAAAAAATTCTAACACTTCCGAGAAAAAAGTTTGAAATTTAGGTGAAATTTTGTTGCACTTTTTTGAAGTTTTCTACAAATTGTTAAACTTAGGTATATATGGGGTTTGTCTGAGAATGAACTAAATTTTAATTGAAAATTCTTAAAAATAAATAAATAAACATAAGTGGCACACAATATCACTTTGAAATGGCGTGCTATAGATATGACCGATACTGTATGTACATATGAGTAGTCCACTTGCAAACAGCGTTATGTGATTTTACAATAGAAAGCCATAAATTTCAAAAAACGTCTACGACAATAAGTAACATTTAAATTTAATCTATTTTTTTTGTTATTACCTGAAAATTTGGATAAACAAGAGCCTTATAAAATTATAACATAACATAACATGACCTTAGTTAACATTAATAGTATATACGACCTAAAGCAGTTTTCTAAGTTCATCAGAAGATGTATACTTTTGAAAGTTTATAAGTAAGTATGATAGCGACATTTGGAAGAAGCGTTAACATTTGATGCTATTTTTTCAGAATATAAAAAGATTCTGCTCTGTGTTGTTAGTGGACATGAAACTACTTTAAATACTGGCACGAAATGCACCAAAAAATAAAAATCTAAACAATTTTACATAGCGCGTTTTGCAAGTGGACTACTCATATATGATTTAATAAAGGCTAATTCCACGGTGACGGGTGTAACATTTCAACTTACGTTTTGGCTTTTACATCTCACCGTGGAAACACAATGCCGGTCAACGGCGAACTCACCACAGCGAAATTACCGGTGTCAAAATTAGAACACCCACCGGCATATGAAATTGAACCTAGCCCAGTGCGCTCTGCGGCGTTTCGTGGCGTTAGATTTATTTCTATCGCTCTGCTGGGCGATGGCGGCAGTACATGCCAAAGGTGGCCGTATGTTTTTTTATTTTCAAAGATGGTTGAAAAATACAGTGATCGATTCGTTAAATCTGACTTAAAATAAAATAATTTATAATAATTCCCCCTTGCCTTATATTTAAATTTGTTATCATTTCATCATTTCTAAATATGGTTTCGTTTTTCAAAATATGGTCATCTAACTTATAATTGCGACGAAATGGTATCAGCTGTTTTCGCTACCGCTCTAATCAAGGTGTATTAAACAAGGTGGTGTTGGGGCGACAGCTGAGTTTTTCGCCGTGGAGGCCATTACGTCAAAATGATGTGTTTGTTGTAACTCATACCAATGACAGTATGGACATCAGCGTATAATTTGTTAGTGTAATTTTTTACTTATATACGGTCAACACCACCTTGTTAAATACGCCTTGGCTCTAATTCTGTTAAAGTAGGCGAAATAGCAGGGCGACCGGTGAACGACGGCATCGCCCATTTCGGCGAACTTCGCCGTTCGCCGTGTATTGTGTTTCAAGCATTAAACTGTAGTACAAAATACTTTAGAATAGGCTTGGGGAGCTTTTGAACTAAAGATCCAGCTCTTTTAATTGAACTAGTTCATTAGTTCGTTCATTAAAGTGAACTTAACTCCAATGGAAATGGTATTTCGTTGGAAGGCGTTAAGAATTAATTGATCGGAATTCGCGCTAAAAGACATTCTATTTAATTGAATTTCCAATTTGGTCGCATTTCCAAGTCAAAACTGAAGAAATGCGACGTGTGCGTTTGTTATGTGCGAGAGTAAAACGCTCTATTTACTCGTTTTACTTGGACACTAGTACATTTACATTTACTATTTGATTTCGCTTTTGACAATGCCTTGTGTTTGTGGTCAAAAGGTCGACCGCATAAAGTCTAAGATTCAGTGCAATAAATGCAATGATTTTTTTCATGCAAAGTGCGTTAATCTATCGCAAACTGACTTGGATTTCCTACAAAAACTAATCGGCCATTCTATTGTGACGTGTGTCAGTCAGTGCGTTGTGTTCGCTCGCCCCCGCGGATTAACGCTGCCGCTAAAACATCATCGAATACCGAAAATCGTAATGCATTCGAAATGCACTCCCAACGCTCGCAAGTTCAATGCACTTCCCCCATGCTCACTACCCAACAACAAGAAACTATCGAAACTGGGCTTGAGAAGCAGAAAGGTAATAGCCCTGTTCGCGTACGCACTATCCAGTAAATCCAGTACTAATTTTACTGGTTTTTTACTGGATGTCGTTTTCGTACGCAAAAACTTGCAAGAAACTAGCAAAAGAGGGGAAATTGAGAGAGCAAAAATGACAGCTGAACTTGCAAGTTTTACTGGATTTTTACTGGATAAATTTTTACTAGCAACTATTTGTAATTCACATTAACAAAATAATTGTTTGTGGTGCTTTTAGAGTTGCAATTGACAAAATAAACCCATTTAAATATATAACAAGATGGAAAATACTAGTTTTCTAAGAAAATTGCATCGGAAAATAACAAATAGATCAGCTGTTCATAAAACTAGCAACCTCTTGCTGGTTTTGCGTTTTCGTACTTTCTTGCATATTTCACTCATTGGGAGTATATATTGACTTACTCTCCGAAATTTGGTTACTGGCAAGTTACTGGATATTTTTTGCTGGAGAATACGAAAACACAGCTAATGTCTCTGATATAATGCAAACTGTGCTTAGTGAAATCGCTGCTTTAAGAGCTGATCATCAAAAAGCTCTCTCATTAATCAATGCTCTTCATGAGGACAAGTTGCTGCTTATAAAAAAAGAGGAGGGGTTACAAGAACAACTTCAGTCTGTATGTGTATGAGAATAAACATCACTACTGCTGCTGCTGATGCCGTAGATAAATTGCTGCCGTTATCATATGCTAATTGTTACAAATGGATAAACAGAGTGTTCGAGATTGATTATTGACTTTGCGTTGAATTTCATTGCTTAAAAGCTTTGCACTTTTTGTCAAATTATTTTACTGATTGAAAAATTAGTTTTTTTATTCCTTTTGCAATTGAATAAACATATCTTTGTAAATCTTCATTATTCTTTAAATAATTACGATTTACTACATTGGCGACGAGTTAAATTTAGAAAACACGCATTCAGCAAAATGGATCACTCACAATTCAAGGCATTGTTCGAGGCATTGCAAGTACAAAATCAACAGATTTTGAAGCAACACCAAGAAGAAAAGAATTTGATGCAACAGCATATGCAAGAACAGCAGAATCTGATTGAGCACATTCTTCAAAGTCAACCGGCGCAGATTGCAGATCAAGCCCTTCTTGCTCAAGATTCAACAGCATTTAAAGTTAAATGTTTGGCCGATTCTATGGTCAATTTTGAATATGACCCAGACAACAATCAAACGTTTGAGGCTTATTATGAACGCTATGAGCCGGTTTTTACAAATCAAGCAGAGGGTCTGGATGAACCAACAAAAGTTTATCTTCTTTTCCAAAAATTCAATCAGGAACAGTATCAACGTTATGCGGATTCAATTTTACCTCTTAAACCACAAGATTGTACATTTGCGAAGACTGTGACAACACTTAAGAAACTTTTCGGAGGATTTTAGCATGCATGCCGCTCGTATAAATACGCACGCCGCGAAGTTTGACATTTCTCATTGTACTGCGGATGACTTTAAAGTTTTGTTATTTGTGAGTGGGTTAAAAGACGTCAAGGACTCGCTTATGCTGGAAAAACTTCTAACGAAAGTTGACAATCAGTATTTAGAGTTGGAGAGGGTAACAGATGCGGCCGCACGTGCAGAGGTTCACAAGCTGAATTTGCAGGATTTGATCAACGAAGCCGAGGGTAAAGTTGGCGAGGCATTCGCTGCTCAAGAAGTTCATTCTGTTCAACAAAGACAAGTCAACGGTTCGGAGCCAAAGAAACGACACTCCTCGCTTAGCCTGTTTTGGAGTGATAATTGTCCATGCAAGGACAAGCAGTGTGGCGAATGTAATGAAAAAGGGCATAAGACAGGTTTCTGTGCTTTTATGAAAAGTTTCAAGGGATATAAATCATCCAGCAAGAAAAACCCCAGTTCGAATCAAGTTGAAGCTATCGTTCACGCAATCTCTAACCGAAAGTATATCAGTCCAGTTGTCAACGGAACTGTAATCAAATTTCAGGTTGATACTGCTTCCGATATAACAATAATATCAAAATTAAATTGGATTTTAATCGGACAACCATTGCTATCGTCTGAAATAGCACCAATGCCACAAGCGCATCAGGTACTGCTATTCCAATTTTCGGTGCCTTAAATTGTGGCATTAAACTAAATGGGGAAGAAAAACGCGAAATTTGCTACTTTACATCACTTGAATTGGATCTTTTTGGCATGCCTTGGATTAATTCTTTCGATCTTTGGAGTGCTCCCTTTGATTCTGTTTGTAAACATATAAAATCAACTGGTGATGACTTGGCCATTGAAGTTTGCGAGAAATTTTTCCGGAAATTTTTTCCGAGGGACTTGGCTATTTCAACAAAGGAAAAGTTTCTCTGAAGCTCAAGCCTGGAGCCCATACAATATTTCGGAATGCTCGACCAGTTCCGCAAGCAGCTCGCGAACCCATTTCAATTGAACTGGAACGCCTTCAACATCTTGGCATTATCAGTCCAATCAAATATTCCCAATGGGCAGCACCTATCGTGGTTGTTAAAAAGAAGAATTGGCAAATTGCAAATCTGTGCTGATTATTCAACTGGTCTTAACAATGCACTTGAGCCAAACATGTACCCTTTGCCGACACCCGATCAAATTTTCGCTAAGTTTGCAGGAAAGACAATATTCAGTACCATAGATTTGTCCGACGTTTTTTTTTTTCAAGTCGAGGTTGATGATGATTCAAAGGAAATTATGGCAATCAACACTCACGTTGGAATGTTTAAGGTAAATCGCCTTCAGCAAGGAGTTAGCTAACGCAAAAAACGCCTCTTCTGCCTGCTGCTGACCCCGCTGAGCAAACTGCAGCTATTGCTTCTTCTATTTCGCGTTGACCTAACTCTCTACACAAAACAATGAAAATGTTGTCAATAACAATAATACAGCCGCCCACGATCTTTCGCTCCTTTCAAATTCAGGCCCGGCTGATATGGTTAAAGAGTTTATCTCAAATCGCACTGGTATCGATAAGAATTCGATGTTTTGCTATAGCCTTGCCAAGAAAGGTGTCCACGCTAGTACTCTCAAAAGTATTAATTTCAAACTGGGTGTACACGTAAATTCATACTCGAAGCTATTACTGCCTGAGCTGTGGCCTGCTAACGTAGTTGTACGCCCTTTCATACTCGAAGCTATTACTGCCTGAGCTGTGGCCTGCTAAGGTAGTTGTACGCCCTTTTCGCTTTTTTTTCCAAAAAACGAAGAGCTTCAACCGACGTCCGACGGCCAACGATCGACTCAAGTAGAGAACATTTCCGCCTGAAAATCTACATGCAAACATCTGGACTAAGAGCTAAATATCAGCTTTTGCGGTTGTTTAGTTTTCATCTTGAATACGACATTATAGTCATCATTGAGACTTGGCTGAATGAAAACTTCTACAGTGATGAGTATTTCGACTCTAACCTTTACAATGTCTTTCGAAAAGATAGAAACTCCACTCTAACTGGCTTAGCGAGAGGTGAGGGCGTTCTTATCGCTGTGCAATGTAAGCACAATGCTTCTATTATTGAGCTTGAAAATCAAAATGCGCTACTCGACCAACTGTGTGTTAG